CAGCCCTGGATGCTCCTGGGGGCAGCGTTCCAGCTGCCTGCCCTGCCCCACACAGCGCTTTGACACTGCCCTGGAAGGATGGGTTGGCTGTGGAACCAAAGGTTGGCTGTGAGAAAACCCAGCAGAGCTCTGGCTGGGATGTTTTTGAAACACCGCCGTCCTCATGCAGTTTATTTAAAAACAAACACAAACTAATTTATTTGAAATGAGCAGTAAGGAGAACTGGTATTACTTTTGTTTTAAAGCACGTTTTGTTATTGTTATTATTATTGTTACTACTCCAGAAATTTGCTGCATAGGTACATAAACACTCTCGTGTCCAAAACCAGATGTAGCAACTGTTAACATAAGAAAACCCCACCCTTTAAAAGAAGGGAAGGAAAATCATACCATTTCAATATTCAATTTGTATATATTCTGTGATTCCTTTGGAAACTCTGATGTTCCTATTTAACAGATACTGTATAGTGTAAATTAAACTAATTGTATGTGTGCTTTGAAATAGGATGAATGTAAACTTATCAAATGTGGGGTGGGAGGGGGTTTCATGTTTGTCTAGGATCTACAACCTTCTGCAAATATTGAATTGGCCTGAGAGACAGCAGAAGTTCTATGCTCAGTGTGCATGCATTGGGGGGGCAGGGAGGGAGGTCGGGCTCAGGATTTTGCCAGGACTGAAGCTGGCAATTCTTTGTGCATTTTGGCATTTTTACAGGAAACTAATGTTGTATTCTGGGACATAAAAGGGCCTGTTTGTGGTTTCTTCTGTAACTGAAAAATAAAAATATTAATATGGGTAAAAGTACCTTTTTTTCTTTATAAATGGCATATGTTTTTCAACTTCTATGCATGTACTTTTGGAAAAAAGTTTATATACAAGCCTTATTTTTTCAGTTCACTTGTCTCTTCCTGCAGTTTATTCTGTATGATTAAAATATGAATTCTATTTTTGGAAATAACTGTGACTCCTTTTCAAAGATCAGGAGGGTTTTATGTAGCAGCTATTTTTACTGCAAAAAAAAAAAAAAAGAAAAAAAAACACTGGAAAAACGTACTTTGTAAGAAAGCTTTATTTTTTATCTGAGCTTGATGTACAGTTCAATGTGTTGTACAGTGTGAGAGGTTTCAAAATATGACTCTTCATTAAAACCTCTTGAAAAGAGAATTTTGTGCGTGCTTTTTGATCTGGAAAGTTTCAGAGTTCCTTCTTTGTTTGTTTGTTGGTTCAATTCTTATCCATCCTTCACCACCCTCAACAGCTGCAGGATGAAAAAAAAGTAACCCAAAAAAAGAAAATAACCAGCCAGGCTTGGGGCTTATTGGAGAAAATACTGCAAGAATGTGGAGGCTGGATGAATGCAACCACTCTCTCTGGATAGAAATTTGAGTTAACACCTTTGTGTTGTGCCTCTGAAAGAAAACTGGCAGCTCTGTGGTGTGAAAGGTGGGGGAAGATATGGAAAAACACAGGTGGGAAGACAATTTTAGCTTGAACTGTTCCCACCCTGTGCAAAGGAACCCTGCTGCCTCCATCATCCTCTTCTTCATCCCTCCACCTTCCAGACAAGCAGAAAATGCAGAAACATTTCCACACTTGAAAAGTGAAAAATACAGATATTAAATAATGCTGGCCCTAAGCCTCTTGGTCTTTCCACCAAACTGTCTTGCTTTTGATGTAGTCACCCTGTGAAAAACCATGGGCTTCGGGTTTTTGGGGAATGAGCCTTTCTAAATGGGAGAAGTTGGGAGGGTCAGCCCTAAACAGCTGCAAACTTATTTTTCCTTGTCCTTCAGCCTCAGTTTTCCTTGTCCCTGGAAAAAAATAAAAAAAGAATAAAGGAATTAAAAAGGAATAAAAGGAATAAAGAAGGAAAAGAATCATAGAATGGTTTGGGTTAGAAGGGACCTTCAAGATCATTCCCTTCCAGCCCCTTGCTCTGGACAGGGGTAGTGCTAAGTGCGCTCCTGATCCTAAAGGAGTTAGTTATTTTGTGTGAAGATAAAGTGTGGGCTGTCATGATGAATGTGAGATTTTTTTTTTTTCCCTTTCTCACACCATGGCTGCAGAGCACTAATTGTCTTCTCAACCTGGTCAAGTCCCATTTGCAGCCTTTTTTTCCCTGAACACGGAATTATTTCTTTGTTTAGAACTGAAACCAGGGTTGTCTCTTGCGTGGGTGATCGTTGAAGGCTCCAAATTAGAGGCTCAAGGAAAGTTGTTTATTTTCCTCCCCCAGCAGAAAAAAGAAATTTCATGGTAGCAGAAGCATCCTGATCCGTGCAACCCACACCAGGGTGTTTGGCAGAATTAAAAATGTTCAAGCAAAAACATTGGAAGGGGCTGGTGGAGTCCCCATCCCTGGAGGTGGCACTCAGTGCTCTGGGCTGGGGACAAGGTGGGCATGGGGCACAGCTGGGATTCGATGATTTTGGAGATCTTTTCCAACCTCAGTGGTTCTGTGTGATCCATTCCATGAAAACCTGCTCTGCTGCACTGGATTGGGTCCACACAGGGGTTCAAGTGTAGCCCAGGGTGACCCAGAAGACAATCATTAAAGGATATTTTGTCCCAGCACAAACTGAAAGCCCTGCTCTGTGTTCTCAGCCACCCAGCATCAAAGAGGCTGTTGAAAGCAGTCTGGCTGAATTCTTCACCTTCTTCAGGACATGCCTCCCTGGGCTCCCAGCTGCCAGCTTTCCTCATGAGACTGCAGTCAAAATAAAGTCTTGCAGTTGGCACCTGCCCATGACTGGCATATCACCTCTAATAACAGTTTGACTTCAAAGTATTTTTTTAAATTAAAAACAAAACAAAAAAAGATAAAAAAGTAGAATTGCATCCCAAGTAAAACACCACCTGTGGGTTGGGAAATCTCTGAGCTACAAATGCTCAGTGTCCAGGGGACTTTTCTGGGAAACATCTGTCAGCTGCTCCTCATTCTCACGCTCACCCTGGGTCTGAGGGCCACACAGGTGAGGAATGAGGATGGGGCAGATGATGGATCACTTATCCCAGTGCTTTATCCTTTGTCTGGAGGCAGGAGGATTGAGCAAACCTGGCCACTCCCTGCTGGTGGTTCCCCAAGTGAGCCCCCATCCCCTCACAGTGCTCAGCTTCTTGGAAGGGACACCCTGCCTGTTTCTCTTCCTTCTAACTTTGGGATTTCTCACCTTGGCCAGCCTTAAAGGAAGGAGCCCCTTGGCCACTCTCTGCTGACTTGTCCTCAAGCACTGGAAGCCAGCACCTCACCCAGGCTCTGAGGTGAGGGCACACCAATGTTGTGCTCAGCAGCAAAACAAAGCTGGTTTAGCGGTACCCTGATGCTTTTTTGGCTTTTTGGCAGTCCCTGCACACTGAGCTGATGATTTCAGAGGGTTGACAGCGATCCATCTCCTGGTAGCTACCCTTTCCAAGTTCAGCATCACACACACTCAGCTTGAGTTATTTTTCCTTGGGTGGATTTCTTTAAACCAACCTACACTGAAGCTCACCTGCACCCTTTTGTGTGCTGTGAGGTCCTTCTGGAGTTCCTCAGCAGCACTCTGGCATTTGGCTACTGAAAATACTCAGCATTATCTGCAAACCTGGAGATTTCTCAGCCCTGAACTTTTGTCCCTGCTGGCTGTTCATATGCCAAGGACCAAAGAGAGGGATGCAGCCCTTCTGTTTTTAGTTCCCATCTCTTCCGTGGCTCTTTTGATGCCCTTTCCAAGATTGACCCAAATTTTGATGGGATAAAGAATTGCCAGACCTTGGCCATGTGATGGATGCAGGATTTTGCCCTTTTTCTGTTTCTGGATCTTATCACTTGGCCATGTGATGGATGCAGGATTTTGCTCTTCTTTTATTTCTAGTTCCCATCTCTTCTATGGCTCTTTTGATGCCCTTTCCAAGGATGACCCAAATTTTAACAGGGTAAAGTATTGCCAGACCTTGGCCATGTGATAGATGCAGGATTTTGCCCTTCTGTTTCTAGTTCCCATCTCTTCCATGGCCCTTTTGATGCCCTTTCCAAGGTTGACCCAAATTTTGACAGGATAAAGAATTGCAAGACCTTGACCATGTGAGTTTATCTTGTGTCTCATGTTTCTCTTTGTTTCTCTGCGTGAAGTGGAGCACAAGTTGAGCCCCCTGTGTTCCCAGCACCCTGTGACTGCAGCAAAGTTCATATGCCAGACACGTGAATGCTCAAAAGGCTAAAGAGGGAATAAAAGGTGTCCCTGTAAGCCAGAAGAATGAAAAAGTCACCTCGGGGCTCACAGCCCTTGGGAAAGGTAGCCAGGAACTCATGTCCAATGTTTGCCATGTGATGTGCCCTCTGCAGCCACACAATCAGTGAAGTTATTAAAAATAAATAAGCTATGCTGGTCAGTAACAGCTTAATTTGCTCTGTGCAAATTGAGATTTTCAAGTGATAAGGTTTTGGGTATGAATAAAGGAGTTATTAAGTAATTCTGTGCTTTGGGGAAAGAGCATCAGAGCTTGACATTTTTCTTCCTTCTGGCTCTACCTCTCTTGGCATTTACAACGAGGTGAATGATGAACCCAACAAAACATGAGTAGCAAGTATAACAAATGTAATGAAACCTCTGCACAAGCAAAAATGTGGGGGTGTTGGAAGATATTTTTCCCAGCTGCTGTGTAGATAGCTAGAAAAATTGTCCAAAACTCCCATATATAGAATGTTTACCGTGGTTTTCTGCATCATGATGTAAAATGAGAGAGCAAATGCAAAATACAATTCCTCTAAAGCCTGCATACCCAAAACCTGTTTGTTCTTTATTGTCTTTCACTATGGGCAGAGCCAGAAGGGAAAACAGGTTTGTCTATGAATTCCTTGGGCTGCGGAGGGAAATCCAGAGCTCAGAGGGAGGTGGGCAAGCTGAGCCAAAATCGTGTGGTTTGGGAATGGAGGGAGATCCCACCACAAGTGTGTGTGGGGCTGGCCAAAGGACACACAGAGGGGTAAAACCTGCAATCCCTCTGGAAAGCTGGGGCCATGTCCTTTCTTCTGGAAAAGCAGGGTTGGATTGATCCTCCTGAGGCCAAGGGGGAGTGATGGAGTGACAGCTCCTGACCCTCTCCGTGTACAACTCACCTGCATGGCCTGGGGTGGGATTGCTCTGCCACAGGAGGGTCTCCAGAGCCCTTTTCCCACCTTTAACCATCTGAGTGAAGTGCAGAAAGAAAGGAAAGTGTTTGCCATAGAATATTTGCAGGTTAAAAGTCCAGTGCAGTGGACACTTCTCCTTCATTTCACTTCTCCTTCCCCTTCTCCTTCATTTCAGTGAGCATAATTCCCCTTTTGTTTCATCTGGATGTTCGAGCCTGGGACAGTGGAAGGTGTCCCTGCCCATGCAGGGGCTGGAACTGGATGAGCTCTAAGTTCCCTTCACACCCAAATCATTCTATGACCCTTAAGCTAAATAAATAAATTTAAATAAATAAACCCATTCCTGCTTGGCTGCCTGTATTTGGTCCGCTGTATCTTGAACCGAACTTCATTTCTTTGTCTTTTTTTTCTTTTTTTCCCCTGACAGAAGGCAAAGAACAATCCAGCAGATGCAGTTCTCCCATTTAGCTTCCTACCATTCACAGGCAGCTCTCCTTCTCTTGCAGGCTGTTTTTTTTTTTAATTTTTTTTTTGCCCTGTGGAAGAAGAGGAGCTCTTCCAAGAGAAATATCATTCCTCCCACATGCCTTTGAACAGACCTGTTTGTTTGTTTTCCCCATCCTGTGTGCCAGCCCTGGGAGATGCCAGGAACACACATCTTGCTGAAGCCAGGAGTGGGTCCCAAATCCCCTTCTTCTCCCACACTGCCCAGTCCTCCCTGAGGCCACTGCTGAGCCAGCAGGGACATCTCTGCCTAAGGATGGTTTGGAACAGTTCCCCCAGTGTCCTGTGCACAGCACTCCTTTTCTTCCTCATCAGGGCTCTATGCCTGCCAGCATCCCCTTTTTTATTTTTTTTTCCTTTTTTTAAACACATACAACCATTGTTGTTTATGTAGGAAAAATTCCACTTTCTCCTCAAGGGGCTTTGCCAGGTTCCAAAGGCTTGGGGTGTCTCTTTCCCACAGGCAGTGCCTTCCAGAATTCACAGATCTCTCCTCTTTTTTGTGCACATGAACACTTTTCACTCCCTGTTTTTAAGCAATATCTCA